TTTCTCATATCCCAACTGAGCTAACACTCCCCTCACCTACGAAGATAATAGAAAGTATAATAGGGAGTATCAAGTGTCGGGAAAGTCTGCAAATTTTTTAAACAAAAAGACATTGTTGAAGATTACCTCTTCTGCAATATATAAGAAGAAATTGACAAGATCACCAGGCACACCGGGAAAACGAGCACGCAGTTCTTCTCTCTGTAACAAAAGTTAGGGGAACCTTAGCAAGATCCGGTTATGCAATGGAAAAAGAAACAACAGCCCAAAAAAAAAGTCCAAATCACCTGACTCGCAACACCAACTGGGCAATTATTAGTGTGGCAAATGCGAGCCATGATACATCCAGTGGCAATCATAGCTAGAGTACCAAACCCGTACTCATCAGCACCCATAGATGCAGCAATCAGAACATCAACACCACTCTTGAAGCCATCATCAACTCTGAGAAGGACTCTTTACATAAGTCCATTTTTCATGAGAGTCTGGGAAAGATCAAATTTTATTATTAGAGATAAACAAAAACACAAAGGAAACTAATAAAAACTTGGAGACAAACTAAAATCCCACAGCACAAGACGATGTTGTACCTGGTGGGTTTCGGTTAGCCCGAGTTCCCACGGTCCACCTGCATGCTTTATGGAACTTATAGGGCTAGCTCCAGTTCCGCCATCATAGCCTGATATCTGGAAAAAAAAAAAAGAAGAATCGTCAATTTCAAAAATATCATACTCAATGTTTAGGTATCTAACAGATAAAATAGCGAGTATGATTAGGTCAACAGAGAGGCATATCTCAAAGGTATTAAATAGGTTGTGATAAGAATAAAATTAGACGCAGTGAATCTCACACCATGGGAGAGCTAAACAACGTTTCCTATTCTGACAAGAAGGATTTTGGTACCTTTCGAACCACCAGGTTCAAGACAGTTCATTTTTATAAACAAAAATCGCAGAATTGCAGCTGATTCAAAACATTTAGTAGTTTTATTTGCATATTGTGGATTTCTCGCATAATGGAGCTCTAAACAAGAAGTGCATGCCTGTATGATATCAGCATTAGCCTTTGCAACTCCAGAAGCAACTGTTCCTATTCCAGCTTCTGATACAAGCTTCACTGACACCTTTGCCTTGGGGTTAACCTGTTCATCTTTTCTAACTGAGAGAGCTTCATTATCAGAAAACTAGCAGAAACTTACAAGGTAAATAAGATGCCTACC